TTTTAAAAGAACGAGACATTGATATAATGATGTAATTGTAAGGAAAGTATTTTTTAGTGGCTACGTGGCTACGCAGTGAGTTTTTAATTTTAAAAGAACGAGACATTGATATAATGATGTAATTGTAAGGAAAGTATTTTTTAGTGGCTACGTAGTGAGCTTTTGAAAGAACGAGACATATTTTTAGTGGCTATGCGGCTACACGGCTACGCAGTGAGTTATTAAAAGAACGAGACATTGATATAATGGCGTAATAGTAAGGAAGGTATATTTTAGTGGCTACACGGTTACGCAGTGAGTTTGAAAAGAACGAGACATTGATATAATGACGTATTTCATTGATATTGTAAATTGATAGCGCGTGACTGCGTAGCCGTAGCCACTGAAAATATGGCTACACAGTGAAACATGTATAATGAACGGGTATTCTGCAATTTAGCCCAAGTTAGTTATGTCCATCCTCTCTAATAAAGTCTGCTCTCTCTTTATTTAATATTTAAACCCCCATATTAAAGGGAAAATTTACCAAGTCGGTGGGTGCCCCCCCCCCCCTCCTTCTTTCATTGATAAATGTTAGTCTCCCAGCCACTTTTGGTGACAAATTTTGGGGGATATCATCTACAGTATGGTCACAACATGATGATTATGGTGCTACATCTGTTACATGTAAGCTGCAAGAACCGTGCTCATGCTGTGTTACTATGCACAATACGATTATGGTGATTGAAGTTAATAAATAACTCTTAATAAAAAATACCTCCAATCAAGATCATAATTCCTACCACGTTACTTAAGCCGTTTCCACAGGGCGCAATTTTCCGTGCAGAGCGGAATTTTTCTTTGTCTTGTGATTTCTGTGAAACTAATTAGAAAAGACAAAGAGAAATTCCGCTCTGTGCGGAAAATTCCGCCTAGTGGAAAACAGCCTTTAATTAGACCTTTTACAGGGATGCCGGTGTCCCATGAAATTTGGCTCCACAAAAAACTTTGGCCTGCCCAGGCCAAACAATTAAACTGGGCCAGCAGTAATTGGGAGTAATTCTGTTGCGGTAAACTTTGCCACTTTTAGTTATGTCTGTCTGTCTGTTTAGTTTATGTACTTGTCTTATCATGGCAATTAAAGCTAATAAATTCTAAAAAAATAAATCCCCACCCCCACAGGGGATTGAACAAATATATTATGTGAAATTTCAGTCGTGAGAAGATAATGAGAGCATAACTAGCATTTTAAAACATTGTAAACATAAACATTCAAAAACTTTATACTAGGCAATTAGCTCAGTGCTGAAATTCCTGACATGTGGGCACATATCACTCATCAGTTATCTAAAATCTACATGAAAGCAAGTGGTTATGATTTAGTTTTTGCACCATTGCAACATGTATTAAGAAATCTGGAAATAAGTCCCTGTTAGACATAATAAACCTAACACCAAACCCGACGCATTTGACATATTTTTAAAATATTTTGAAACCACTAAAATTAGCTCTTTCATAGTCAAATTGTCATGCCTGCGAGAAAAGTAATGTACATTTTCCCTGAAAAACATTTTGATTTGTAATTTTGGGCTCATAGAGGATTGTAATGACATTAACCTGAATTTAACATATTTGCTCAGGGACCGATCATTAATTACAGGGGAG